AAACTTTGATAAGCAGTTCTCGATAATCACTTCTTAGCAATTATTTATTACAGTTTAACATTATAAAATTAACAAAAATAATATAAAACTCATATTCTGGCGAAATAGCCATATGGCGGCAGAAAACCGTATATTCCCTTCTTGTTTTCCAGCCCGTTTGTGCATTCTTTCCAAAGATCGGGACTTTTTTAAACCGCCAGGGGTCCGGGACAAATTGTTGAAAAGCGGGACTGTCCCGCCAAAATCGGGACGTCTGGTCACCCTAGGGTTAGAGTGGAGTGGACTGCAGCTCACTGCAACCTCAAACTCCTGGGCTCAAGTGATTGTCCTGCCTCAGCCTCCTGAGTAGTTGGGACTACAGGCACAGGCCACCATGCTCTGCTAATTTTCTCTCTCTCTTTTTTTTTTCTCATAAAAATAGGATCTCACTTTTTCTCGGGCTGGTATAAAACTCCTGAGCACAAGGGATCCACCTGCTTTGGCCTCCCGGAATGCTAGGTTTATACATGTGAGCCGTCATGTCAGACTGTGCCCAGCCTTCCCTGACATTCTTGTGTCACACGTGCATCACTTCCATAGGCCCTGAATCCATAAACACAAATTCCATGTGTTGTCAAGACCTAGTGTGAACACAGAGCTTTTTCTACGTCTTTTTTTTTCTATGTCCTGAAGATACGTTCTTCACACTCAGACATAACATCACACATCCACAGAACATTCCAGCATGGCCCAAACCTGTATCCATGATCAATCTCCAAATTTTGCACTATAGACCTTCCCTCATACCTAGGGTGTCAAGGCACTGCAACTGACATGCTAGTCTGATCTAAATATGTATGAGCAACATTCATGTGTCGCCTTAATATGTCTATGACAGCTGCTTATGACAACTGTGTGCAATATTCTTGAGCGAATGCAAAATCTACCGGTGGAATTGTTTCATGACTTTGACATTTGGAATTGGAATACTTTGAAAGTAAATACATGTTCAAATCAACATTTGGATCAACAAAGCCCATTTCCACTCAGAGGCTGGGAGTCCTTGATGTCAGATATACATGGCATTCTCCGTGTGAAATCATCACATCTTTCACTGCTTTAGACCCACCCAGGCTCACAGTGAGTTTTCCATCTCTCTCTCTCTCACACACACTTATACACAAAACACACTCCTCTTCACTCTCCCATCACTCTGGCTGCCATGGGCTGAGGACTTTTTCCCCGCAGATAGACCACAGTGGTTCCAGGGCTCTCCACTCAGCCTGAGCCTGCTTCAGGGGACCAATTTCTCTGAGGAGGAACCACACAGGACTGAGCCTTCCTTACCTTGAATCACCAGTATCCCGGCTCCTGCAGTGAGCAGAATCAGGTAGGTGAACATCACAGCTATGGAGCATCTTACCCCATGTTTCTTCTCCGGCTTTGCGTCTGAAACACACCAGGCAGAGGGCGCTGCTGCCGAGAGTGCCAAGCAGGGAGGCACAGCCTGTGCCAGACCCCTCTGTGTGAGCAGGGGCTCCCTAGGAGGCCAAGTGGAAAGACACCGAAAATTTAAGACCCCTAAAATCTTCCCCGGAGCTTCCTTTTTGCCACAAAGCAAGGAGTGCCACTGTTGGTCACTTGTTTGTGTAGCCAGGCAAGCAAACATGCCTGCCATGTATCATTAGCTGGAAGAGGTATGTGAAGTCTCAGCACAATGCCGGGCCCATGTCAGCTTCTCAGTCTAGGTTTATGGACTGAATTAATGAATTAATGCGTGTAAGTTTCAAAACTCTGGGAGGAAGAGGATTGTTCCCATTTTACAAAGAAAGAGTGAGGGTTGGAAAAGTTGAATAACTTATAGGTTATAATGTAGAGATCTGGAATTCATGTCTAATATAGTGATAGAGTTTAGGGTTAATGATCTATCAACTTCCTGAGGCCTAACTCTCTGAGGTCAGCTTTATTGGCATTCTGGGGTGTGTTCTTCCTCCCATCCCACTTGCCTGTAGAATACCCATATACTCTGAGACAGACCTGGGTTTTTTATTCTTTTAATCCTACACAAATGAAACCATAATACATATAATATGGCACATTATTTTTTGCAATGCATGCTTTTCGTGAATGTTCTCTAGTTTTCTTTGCAGAGAGAGATTAGCTGCCTAATATTCCTTAGGGACAAAAACCACAGTTCCTGCAAATATTTTCCTTTTGAAGAGCTGTTTCTAGTTTGGGGCATTACAGAAGAGGCTGTCATAAATCTTTCCTGGAGGTCCTGACTCCCGTCTTTACATCAGCTGTCATCATTTTGTTGAGGGCTTTCAAAGGGAGAGCCTTCGCCTGCAGAGGGCCCTGCACTCTCCATGGCTCACATTAATTGAGTATGAACCTATTCTGCACCAGGCACTTGCCAACATCATCTCTAAGTTTCACATAATCCAGCAAGTAGGTGTGGGCATGTGCATCTCCAGAGGAGCGCTGGGGTTCAGAGAAGCTAACACGATCCGGTGGACATGCATCCCAGGTCTGCCTAACTCCAAGGCCTGAGGTTGCCTCATTAGTCTATACTGACCATTGCCCTGGGACAAATCCAGTTGAAATAGGCCCTGTGGACTGGTCTGAAGGGGAAAGAAATTCTAAATAAGCAACCCAAGGGAGCAGACAGGGGCACCATTTTTGCTTTCTGGTAGCTGATGATAGATTTTCAGCTGGCTATTCTGATAGGTGCATTCAAAACCTCAGGTCTTTTCCCCATCCCCCTCGGAGCCTGTGTTATACTGCTGATTTTCCTTCCAGCCATCTGCAGAACAGCAGCCCCTGCTCAAGCAGCACCCCAAAGCACAGTGGTCTAGGGATAGTTCTGGCAGCACTGAGAGGAGTGGTTTTGTCAATGTATTGGTTATTTTTGTTGGTGTTACTTCCAGGCTCACACAGCAGCCTGAGAGAGATTCCCAACACACAACCTGGCCAAGTTATTCCCCTGCCTTCAGCCCTTTAGTGTCTGCTCAGTGCCCTTGGGCAAACAACTCCGCACCTGCACCTAGAGCCCCACTGTCCAGTTCTGTCTTGGCTGCCTTCTATACCACACCTGCACACGGATCCTGAGCAATGGCCAGGCCAGGTGACAAGTGGTTACCCCTTCTGACTTGATACAATGTATGTCTTCTGAACATAGGATTCCCTTCTCCCTTTCATGTGACTAATTCCTACTCATCCTTGGGGAGTGCTGTAGATCAGTGGTTCCCAACCTTTTTGGCACCAGGGACCAGTTTCATGGAAGACAATTTTCCCATGGACCAGAGGGTGGGGGGTAGGTGGATCTGACAGGAGGCAGAGCTCAGGTGGTGATGGGGGCAATGGTGAGGGGCTGTAAACACAGATGAAACTTTTTCACTTGCTCACCAGCCACTCACCTCCTGCTGTGCAGCCTGGTTCCCAGTCCATGGCCTGGGGGCTGGGGGCCACAGCAGTAGGGTCTTTCCTGTCTTAGGATATGTTCTCTGGCTCCCCTGGGCAGGATGGAACTTCCTTTGCTACACTTATCACTCTATATTTCTCTCTATGGATCATCTTGGATTGTGTCTGTTTATGGATCAATCTCCCCAGATGGCCTGGAGGCTTCTTGAGCTATATTCCAGCAGCAACATAGTGTCTGACACATGATAAGTGCTGGCAAGATGATGAAACAAGTGAATGGATGAGTGATTGCCTGCGGAGGTTTAGGTGCTGAAGATGTGCAGAGCTGAACACTGACGTTTGGAAATGTTGGAAGACCCTCAGGAATGCAACTCGGGGCCTTGGTATCCATGCAGCCATCCTGGAGGGGATGGGTAACACACAAGGGAAGCCTCACATTCAACACAAGGTTGTGGATGGCAAATAAAATCTCATGGACAGTACTGAATTTGATGAAACATAACGTGTGATGGGAATGGAAAGGTACACTGTGCTTCAGAGACACAGGTATTAGAGAGGTTGGGGGTGAGGGTGAGAGCAAGCATGGAAAATATGGATAGTTTAAAACCAGATGTCAGGAGCATGATGGGAGGCATCTGAGTAAAAATAAAGTAAGGAAACACAAGATATGGTAACAGTGTGAGTAGTTCATAGATGTCCACTCTGGCCCAGAATACTTTCTAGATTCAGCGCTACCGCCTGGCATGGATGCAAAATACTTTAGAAATTGGGAACTTTGAACCTGTGGGCATATCTAACTCACTGTGTACAGGATTGAGTTTGATGAAGTCTGCTTGCTACACACCAATCATCTCATCTCTTTGAGGGTAGAAGAAACTGTAAAGAAAATATCTCTTGGGCAGCACCTGTGTGTGGCTCAGTGAGTAGGGCGCTGCCTCCATATACCAAGGGTGGCGAGTTCAAACCCAGCCCTGGCCAAACTTCAACAACAAAATAGCCAGGTATTGTGGTGGGCGCCTGCAGTCCCAGCTACTTGGGAGGCTGAGGCAAGAGAACTGCCTAAGCTGAAGGGCTGGAGGTTGCTGTGAGCTGTGATGCTACAGCACTGTACCGAGGGTGACAAAGTGAGACTCTGTCTCTAAAAAAAAAAGAAAAGAAAAGAAAAAAAGAAAATATCTCTTCTGGATGAGGCTTGACCAATGAGGAAGAGCTGTTGTGCTGGGCAGTGTGGGAAGCACTGATGCAAACAACACTAGCAGGAGGCAGCGTGAACGCCAAGGGTACCACGTAAACAGAGCAGACCAGAGTAGCACAGTCAGGGCTCTGAAAACTAAATCACCTTTGGAACCACAGCCCAAAGTAGGCCAGAGCCTACGCAGTAAAGCCAAACAGGGCAACTGTGCTAAAGTAGAGGAGTTAAGCAGGATCCAGAGTCTCCTAACATACTATACCAAACATCCAGCAAATACTGGAAAATCGCCCATCACACCCAAAAGAGGGAAAATCACAACTTGAATGAGAAGAGATAAGCAACAAATGCCAGCACTGAGATGACACAGATACAGGAATGATCCAGAAAGAATTTTAAAGCAGCTGTGACAAAAAGGCTTCAATGAACAATCACATTTGAAATGATTTTTTAAAAATAGCACAGTGGTTACGGCACTAGCCACATATACCAAAGGTGGTGGGTTCGAACCCAGCCCAGGCCAGCTAGCCAACAATGACAACTGTAACAAAAAATAGCCGGGCATTGGCAGGCATCTGTAGTTCCAGCTACTTGGGAGGCTGAGGCAAGAGAATCACTTGAGCCCAAGAGTTTGAGGTTGCTGTGAGCTGTGATGCTGCGGCATTCTACTGAGGGCGACAAAGAGAGACTCTGTCTCAAAAAAAAGAAAGAATTTTCCAAAGAAGTAGAAGACTTTAAAGAAAAAAAAAAAAAAAAAAACCAAATGGAAACTATGAAACTAAAATCACCATTAAAAAGAAAACCAAAAATCTCACAGCCAGGCATGGTGGCTCATGCCTGTAAACTTAGCACTAAGGGAGGCTGAGGAGGGAAGATCACTTGATGCCGGGAGTCTGAACTAGCCTGAGCAAGAGTGAAACTCAGTCTCTATAGAAAAATAGAGAAATTATTCAAGTATAGTGGCAGGTGCCTGTAGTCCTAGTTACTCAGGAAGCTAAGGCAGAAGGATTGCTTGAGCCCAGGAGTTTGTGATTGCAGTGAGCTGAGATGACTCAGCTCAGGTGAGTCATCTGAACTCTAGCCCCGGTGACAGAGCTGTCTCCAAAAAAAAAAAAAAAAAAATTCTCATTCATGTTAAAAATAAAAATTCAATTAAAACAAGCAAACAAACATGGACAGAGCCTCAGAGACCTGTGGCCAGTAATGAAATATCTAACATTCATATCACTGAGGCTTTAGAAAGACTGTGAGACACAGAAAAAATTTTTTTAAATGGCTGAAAATTTCCCAAATTCTGTGAAAGACTTGGACCCACAGTTCAAGATGGTAAGTAAATCCCAACCACGATAAATCCAAAGAAATCCATACCAAGACACATCATGGTTAAAAGCCTAAAAAAACTAAAGACAGAGTAAAGTAAAAATGTACAGAAAAATAAAAAGTCTGGAAATCAACCAGTCAGAAATTACATATTACCTATAAAGAAATACTGATTTGAATGGCAGGAGATTTCTCATTTGAAACCATGGAGACCAGATGTAAGTGGCACAACATATTTCGTGTGCTGAAAGGAGATAATTGTTAACCATGAATTCTGTTGCCAATGAAGATATCCTTCTGGCATGAATAGGAAATACAGACATTCTCAGATGGAAGAAAATGAAGAGAATTTATTGCTGGCAGACTTAACTTCTAAAGAATGACTAAAGCAAGTCCCCCAGACAGAAAGGAAATGATGATAGAAAAAGACGTATAATTTCAAAAAGAAAAGACAAGAATAGAATGGGTAAAATTAGCAATATATATATGCATATATATATGTACATATATATATATCCTT